TCCCCAAGGAATGTTTTTGTGTCCTTTTCCACAAGACTGACCAGCAGGAGAGGGACAGATACAATGTGAAATATTGTAATGTACCTCTTCTGTGTTGTCCTATTCCCCTGTGGTAGTCATAGTCTAAGCCAGTGGTGGAAGACTTTTATGTAAAGTGGTAGGTTGGCCCCTAGGCCACTATTGGAAGCTTGAGCAGAGGCTGGGCGAGTCTCTTTCTATGGACTTGTGTAATTACTCTGGCTAGGTCTTCCTGCGGCAGTGGCAGCGGTTGCTTGGCAAGACTGTCTAGGTTGTGGCTGCAGGCGTTTGCTCCACCCAGGAGTGGACATCAAATATAACTGTGGTATATGGTGGTGGGCGGCTTGTGGTTGGCAGGTCTGTGGTGGAGAGCTGGACTGTAAGAGTGGCATTGTGTGGTGCTACATGGGTATAACTTGAGTTTTCCTTTTTTTTTATAATAGCCATCCTAACAGATATGAAGTGGTATCTCATTACAGTTTTGATTTGTGTTTTTCTGATAATTAATGAAAGATGTCCAGCATCTTTTCATATACTTTTTGGCCACTTATATGCCTTTTTTTCTTTAAGAGATAGGCACTTGTTCTGTCATGGATGCTGGGGTGCAGCAGTGTATTCATAGCTCACTATAACTTGAATTCCTGGGCTTAGGTACTCCTCCTGTCTCAGCCTCCTAAGTATCTGGGACTACAAGTACCACCATGCTTGGCTAATTTTAAAATTTCTTTTTAGAGGGCAGCCTCTGTGGCTCAAAGGAGTAGGGTGCTGGCCCTATATGCCCGAGGTGGTAGGTTCAAACCCAACCCTGGCCAAAAAAAGAAAATTCAAAAAAAAAAAAATTGGGGATTGGGTCTTGCTGTATTTTTCAGGTTGGTCTTGAACTACTGGTCTCAAATGATCCTCCTACCTCACTTCCTAAAGTTCTGGGATTACAAGTGTGAACCACTATACCCAGCTTGTATGACTTCTTTGGAGAAATGTCTGTTCAGTTCCTTTGTCCATTTTAAAGTTTTTGCTGTTGAATTATAGGAATGCCTTTTTTATTTTAGAAATTAACCCTTTATCAGATACATGGTTTATAAAACACCAATGAATATAATCGCTCGTCTTATGTGTTCATCTCTGTCCAGGTACCAAGCGGTACAGTTTCTATTAATGTGTTTCATTAACTTAAAGTCCTCTCTCCATTTAATCTGTAAATATTTCTGCATGCACCTTTACCAGTTAAGTACTGTATTTGAAAACATTACTATATTACTGTCGTCAGCCAAAAAATTTAACAGTAGTTCTCTAATATTATCAAATATCTAGTCAGTGTTTAAATTTCCCTGATTATCTCAAAAATATTTTTTTACAATTTGTTTGAATCAGGATCTGAATTAAATCTCTAGGTTGCAATTGGTTGTTATGTATCTCAAGTCTATCTCTCTTTTAAAAGCAATTATTTTTCTTTAAGACATTTTTTACTGTGGTAAAATGTCTATAACATACAATTTATCATCTTAACCATTTTTAAGTATACAGTTCAGTGGCACTAAGTACCTTCATATTGTACAAACAGTACCACCATCCATTTCCAGAACTTTTTGTATTACAAAACTGAAACTCTGTACCCGTTAATTAAAATAACTCTCATTCCCCTATTCCCCCAGTCCCTGGTAACCACCGTTCTATTTTCTGTCTCTGTGGTTTTGACCATTCTAAGTACCTCCTGTAAGTGGTATCCTGTAGTATAATTATTATTATCTTTTTGTGACCGGCTTATTCCATTTAGCATGATGTGCAGTAGCATATGTTAACTTTTCCATATATAAGTATTTTTGAGACAGGTTTTCACAATGCACCCAGGCTGGGGAGTGCAGTGGTGCCATCCCAATTCATTGCAGCCTCAAACTCCTGGGCTTAAGTGATCCTCCTGCCTCTGCTTCCTGAGTAGCTCAGACTGCAGGCGCTTTTCACCATACCTGGTTAATTTTTCTATTTTTTGTAGAGATGGGGTCTTGTTCCTGTTGTGGCTGGTCTTAGACTCTTGACCTTAAGCAGTCCTCCAGCTTTGGCCTCCCAAAGTGCTAGGGCTGCAGGCATGAACCACTGCACCCTGCCAGCATTTCCATACTTTTAAAGGTAGATAGTATTCTATTGTATGTATACTACATGTATCACATTTAACTTATTGATTCATCTGTCAATGAACATTTGGGTTGCTTCCATGTTTTATTTAATGTGAAAAATGCTGTGATGGGGCGGTGCCGTGGCTCAATGAGTAGGGTGCCAGCCTCATATACCAAGGGTGGCGGGTTCCAATTCAGCCCCAGACAAACTGCAACAAAAAAATAGCCAGGTGTTGTGGCGGGTGCCTATAGAGGCAAGAGAATCGCCTAAGCCCAGAAGTTGGAGGTTGCTGTGAGCTGTGATGTCACGGCACTCTATCGAGAGTGATAAAGTGAGACTCTGTCTTAA